AATTAAAAAAAAAAAAAAAAAAGGAACTGCCCGTTTTCCTCTTTATTACATCCTCTGTTACCCAAATTAATGATACTCCAAAGGCCTATATCATGTTTGTCACTGATAGCAGTGACATCTACTGAAGAAGAAGGAATTCAAAAGGAACTGCAAGCTGAACTTAGCCAAAATAGTCACTGGTATAGCTTTAACAGATGTACATTTCTCTCCCTCCTGCTTTCTCTACAGAGCCATCCTGCCTCGTCAGCTGTTTCTACTTTTAACCTTTTCCCATCCTCCTAAGAATAACTGTCATCCTTGCTGAGCTCCAGACACTTCCCATTTCAATGATACAGCAAAAGGGTTAAAAAAAGTAGTCAGCAAGAAAAATCATTTTTTGAACTTCAATCACCTGACCGCATTTAGTACAAAAGAAAAAACACAGGCAGCTTCTACCTTAAGCAGTTGCCCTTGAGTCTGACTTTAAGTCAGAATGCAACTCTGTAGGAGTGGGATAGGAGGAAGAGTCTACTTATGTCATTGCATGTACATTCATACACACGCGCAAACATTTTTCACTAATTGGTAATCTTTGATTTGCCCAGGAAAAGAAAACAAACAAACAAACACCGAAAACATTTTCAGTATAAACTACATATCTTGCAGTCTGCTATAATCTTGCAACACTAAAGTTGAACATGTGCAAATATAGATGTATAGCCTTCCTCTCTGACTGAAAATGAGGGTCAGAATGGCTATTTTCTTGACCAGCCCCACCCCCATTGCTGCTGTTCTAGCACTCCCTGATTTGGTTTTGTTGCAGTATCTCTCAAAAATAGCTATACATGCTGTTTTGTTATTTCTGGTTCTTTTTAGAGGGAGGCATACAACTCAAAGTATTTAAAACCTCAGGCAATGTTTGGTTGTTTCAGGCCAAGATACAGGCAAAAACAACAAGTTGGAAAACGCCCAACCCTTTTCAAGCGTCCCTAATTTGAATTGCTGTAGTACACTGTTAGAAAAAAACAGTAGTCTCAAACAGAATTACAGATAGAGCCTTCACTTATACATCTCCACTCATAAACTTTCTGGGAAATACTCTGCCTGCAGAGGGGCAGATTCTCTTCTAACTAAAAGGGCTTTGCAAGTGGGCAGTGCCAGCCAAAC